CCCCTCCTTCCCCCGGGTTTCTTCCCTGTGAGGGTTGCATGCAGCCAGGCTGATGCTCTGCCCTCAGGATCCTCTCCCTCCTTTTGAGTGACAAACCACTCTCTCCTCCCCCTCCCCTCCCCCCTCCCTATCCCTCTTCTCTCCACTCGAACCTTTTTTTTTTATTTGCAGTTGCATCAGCTCTCTCTAACATGCACGTCCCTGATTGGTTGGTTGGTTGGAGTCAGTCTGCATGTGCCACCACACCACGCAGTTTTTGGCCTCCTTTATTTGTATCCAGGCTTTGACTTTGAGTTTTCTTTCAGTTCAGCAGATCTTTGACTCTCTCTGCCTCCATCTTTTTGCCCCACCCCCCTCCTCCCGTGGTAGCATGGGTGAGATGGAGCATGGTGAAAGAAGGGGGGGTGGGGGGTTGAATGGGGACTATCCCAGCTAATGATGCCTGTCCTATGATGTGTTGTGTGGTGTTGTGTTCTGCCGTGTCTCTCCCTGTCCCTCGGTGGTTCCGGTCCTTTGGCGGCACGCTCCTCCAGGCTGAGAAGGTGCTGCTGTTCACCCAGGATACCAACCTGACTGCATTGCTGCTGGAGGCTAAAGACCTGGAGGCTCGAGTCATTATCCTGTCAGCCAGGTGAGAGGAACCCTGAGGAATCCGTAGAGATAGAAGAACTGCTGAGGTTTAGCACCTGGATAAAACAACTAAACACCTGAAACTTGATGGCAGCTTGGTGACCCGGTGACCACATCACCAGCAGACAGCTGCAGTGGTGGTCTGACTTCACTCGGCAGTAACAGTTTGGGGCAGGGGGCGGGGGTTGTGGTAAGATGTTTAGATCTGACCTCATTACCATTGGTGGTAATGCCCTAAACAGGTTAAGCAGTAACAGAATAATGTTAAAAACTGAATTACAGTTTCTAAGGCAGGTAAGGCATGAAAATCCGAACTGAGCCAACAACTTCAATAATGAGAAGATTATTTTTCACTTGGGCCATTTCTCAATCTGTGTACTTGCGCGTTCTTATGTCCCAGTTTTAAACCAATAGAAGAAGAAGACGGTCAGATAGCTACAGCAATCACTTTAAGGTTTTCCAAGTGACTCTAGTCATACTAATTAATATCAATACTGAAATAGTATTAATGAATGTCGACTCATTTCATGGACTTTTGATAAACCATGTGTGTCGTGTTCACTCAGCTGCTATGAGGTATAGAAAGTCGTGACATTTAAATATGACTTCCCTATGACTTTAAAAGGCTTTTTTTGTTTCATTATTCCACATCATTTTCGTGATTTTGCTACTGATTTCCCAATACCTTGTTCTAAATGTGTATTTTAGCAAAAGTAACCAAAAAAAAAAATCAGTAACTTATTACTTTACACAAAAGGCAATGTTTTAAAGAAACTTAATATTATCTATCAAGTGTAAATTGTAATATGAAATATATAACATTCGGGAAGTAACTTGCCCCACACTGAACCTCAGAAAGAGCGGTGACCCGTTCAGCCATGGAAACATCTGGATCAACCAATAAAGAAGAATTTATGGTTCACTGCTGTTCTGTGTTTACTTTCTACATCATTTGTCTTTCTTTATCTCCTGTGTGTTTGTTGACTTCCTGTGTGTGAATGTTTATTTTCTTGTTTGTTTATTTCCTATTTGTTTCTTTACTTCCTTTGTTTATTTAATGTCATGTATGCAGTTTGCATTCTGCCTGTTTTTGTTTACTTCCTGTGATTGATTACTTCCTGTCTGTGTCACTTTACTACCTTTGATTGTTTACTTTCGGTCTGTGTCAGTTTACTTCCTGTTATTGATTACTTCCTATCTGTGTCAGTTTACTTCCTGTT